CCCAGAAAAAAAAGCATTTTTAATTTGAACATAAAAATAACTTTGCACTTAGAGCAGTCAATACTCTTACTCCATGCATTCATAGTCAAATGTTTAGTAAAAATACTTAATTAAAAAAACCTGTTTTTTTGTGTTCAATATTTATTGAAAGCTTGCCAAATTTTGAGAAGATACACACAATATTAGTTATAATATGAAAGTTAACATTTTTCTTACACTAAAAATGTATTTCCAACAGGAAGTGACCTCCTCTTACACAAACCTATCTTGATCTTTTTCTGCCCTATAAGCATTGCTAAAAATATTTTCATGATCAGCCCATCAGTCTGTGACTACTCTCAATTTATAGTTTTGTGCCATCTATATTGGCACAGCTAGCTCCATCTACTATTCCTGCTCAATCCTCACTTCAGAGAATTGGCATATTCTAAAAGAAGAACACTGGCAAGGGTGGGAAGTACCTATAGGAAATACATTTTCCGTGTACGAAAAAATGTTAACTTCTGATACAAAAAGCTAGAATCCCACATTGCAAAGGTGAAGGTTTAGGCACACATCATAGTAAACAAGTGGAAAACATTGCCCAGAATGAACGGGTGAGCTCTGAAATGATCAAAGCACACTAGTGAGGTACTGCACTACTTCTGGAACAGGTATGCTTATCACCCTTCAAGTAGGAAATGAACCTGACATGGGTGGATATATATACACAACCTCAACCAGATACAAGGTTTTGTAACTCATCCTCAGCATTAAGAGGATGTGCACAAATGCAATTTGTTCTTATAGGTGCAAATCATACTAAAACATAAACAGATATAATTATTGAGAAACACGACCTCAACCAGACAGACAAGTTTCATAACTCATCCACAGCATTAGGAGAATGTGCACAAATTATTAGATCTGAAAGATGCAATGGGTAGTTGAATAAAATCAGTTAAATATGAGCTGGACAGATCAGGTTCATAACTCATCCATGGAATTAGGAAGTTGTGGCTCAAAAAAAAATTGTAACATAGTGTAGCACAAACATGGTGGCTAGGGCATGTGGACCGTAGTATACAAACCCACCAACACCAACAACCATAGGAACAGGGTGGCGTCATCCCGAACGAATTATTACAAGGAGGATCCCATACAAGCTGAACCTGCTCCAACAGACTATTTTATTTTTTTTATAGCTATCCATCTGGGAAATAGCATCCAGGGGAAATGGAAGGAGAAAAACCAGCTTTGACCTCTCTCACTGAGTGGATAATCATGAGTATGAATTATAAAGTAAATTACTAAATTCATTCAGGAGAAAGCCTCAATGGTCCACCACGCCAGCAACTGGTAAGGACTCCATGCTCCACTGGAAGGAAAAAAAAAATGGGGGGGGAGTAAATGTGGTGGAGAGTACAGAGGAACATCAGAGAAAGTGCAATAAATCCCCTTCTGCTTTACTCAGCAAGTCCATGAATGACGCTTTACCACTTAGTGAAACTTACTTATATCTATAAACACATACACACATATATATATATATATATATATATACACACACACATACATACCACTGGGTAAGCCACCAGTAATCTTGCAGAACACACCATCTCTACAGCCTAATGAGTTGACAAACCCAATCAGTAAGCATGACACAGGAAATGGAAGGGTTCCAGGTAATAAAAAGTGGGGAATATGAACCTCCAAAAGGAGGCAGTATGTGTCACATAACACCTTAAGAAGGGAACTGGACAAAGAAGCCAATCAGGATTAGAATGGGAATACAGGTGGGAAATGGAAGGTAAGGAAATTGGTGTGAAAGCCAATCCACCTAAAATGGTAGAATAGGTCCTAGGTAGGAAGGACCAGTTGGGATAGAGGACGACATATGAGGAATGGTAAAGGATGAGGGTAACATTAATGGCATAAATGTCTGAATGATGATGACTGCAAACAAAGAAAAAAGGAAATAGGTCTTGAGAGAGAGATGGTATATAGAAAACATAGACAGAGGTTCAAATGCAGGGCAAGAAAGAGCATAAAGGACCACATTGAGATCCCAATCAGGCAATTCAAAGGAATGTGGAGGATTCAAGACTGAATGGAGCAGAAAAAGACATGAGAAGACAAAACCAGAAGTAACGGAAGCTGTTTGACAAGGCACTCGATAGCTAAGAAATGGTACAAAGTGGACAAGCCTATTTTTAAATAACCATGTCGAAGGCATAAGGTATACCATCACTTGTGATAAATGTACATGGAAGAAGGTCTAATGGATCGAGAAAGGAAAGCTGCAACACGTGGAGTCAGTTCTTGGACAAAAACAATGGATCTGAAGACAGAATGTGGCGAAATCTGGATGAACGATGTCTGACCAAGGTCAACAGAATGAGAACCAAGAAAGAATGAAGGATAGGGGAGGTTGTATAAGTAAAGGTCAGAGCAGTGGGAATGATGGTTGCACTGGTCAAGATAGAGCGACCAGTACGGAGACACGGGGTGGTTTGGAATAAGGATATAACTCTGGAGAATAATCGAATAGAGGGTAAGCATAGATGTTAAGATCCCTCCAAACTTGACAGAATGCAACCATCCCCAGAGTTATCAGGTGAGAAATAGGAGACTAAAGGTAAGGAAGTTAGTGTTCCAGTGGGTGTCAAATAGATATGAGGAGTCTTCAGCAAGAACACACCCACCAAAAGACCTGTGAAACGAGGTATACTCCATGGGGAGAATCTTGTTGGGATGAGATCATCAATCCACCACCAGATTCATGGAGCCAGAAAAATTGCAAACAAAGACCATTAAGTAATGACTGTGGGCTCAGAAAGGAGATCCGGAATCTGAAAGCACAGAGACCTGGAACTGGTACCCCTGGCTCTGTATACCATAACCACTCTCCCACCCCCATAGAAGAGGAAGAAAGTGGGACAAAGCTCAGTGAACCTCCAAAGGCTTGAGAGTGGTGATATGAAGAAAAACTCCTTGTTCAACCAAAGACCTGAAATCTCCTAGGAGGTGAAGTAAGAACCCATACTCTCTAAAGATGATTCCATGAACAGATCTAAATCCAGAAGAGATAGAGTAAGGGACACCCCTACTATGATCTAGTCTCTGCCTGACCACTAAGCCGGGAATCTGAGAAGTTCCACTGATTTAGGAGTGTCCACTGATGTGAATGCATATGAGTCTGACCCATGGAAAGAGAGCTTCCATGGAAGCCCACATCCCCAAAGATATAGAACATCTTGAGCTGTGAGAAATGAGAGGTAAAGGACATGTAAACTGCTTGCTCCTGACCTGAAGACGGTGAAGGCTGGATCCAACTGAGGTTGGAAAGGAGACCTCCCTCCAAATGAACAGGTTATTGAGAGCAGGTAAGAATGGACTTCTCCCACTGTCATCAGGAATCCCACTGCTGTATCATGTAGGAGCAGAAGAGTGTGGTCTCTGGACAGTGAATGAGTAGAAGCAAGCAAAAACCAGTCATCCATAGAAAGAAGATTGCAAAGACTCATAGAGTGAATATGTCAGGCAGGAGTTTATTGAGATAAGAAAAGCCAGTACAATTTTACAGTTTTGATTATTTATTATAAAGTTTTGCTTTTGTTTGCACAGTGATAATTTAAATAAGGAAACTGCCTAAACATTAAATTTAGTGTGACTGGTTGACACATTTCATCTCAAGTGCACACCAGCATATTAATTTTCAAAATTTAAGTAAAAAATATAATTCTAACTAGTTCAACATCTTTTTACTCACAAGTATTTCAAAATTGATATTCCATTATTATATAACTATATTTAGTGTAGTTCACAAAGAAAAATGAAAAAATGTTAGAGCTTTAATTTATTTGCACTTCCAAGAGTCTTATTTGTAAAAATTAAATTTATAGACTTTCTTTTTTTTCTAATTTTTCTGATAAGCTGAAAACAAACAAAGTGGTTGTAGCAGTAATTTGGTTTGTTGACATATTAGCTACCCAGAACTCTCATGGGTGTCAACAAATGATCTTAATGTAAAGTTTACAAAACATGGAAAAAATGCTGCAGATCAAGGAATTTTTATTGTTTCTTTTGATGTTTGTTTCATTTTTGATAATATTTCTGTCTGTTTGAAAGCTGCAGGAATATTCTTCTGTGATGTCATATGCTTAGTCAAGTTTAACAAGTAACCTATGCAATAATTAATTTATTATTTATTGAAATTCAACTATATTTATTAGATATAAATTCATCTTGACCAAGAAAATATTCAATTTAAACTTTTTACACTTGGAAAAAAAAAGATATAAACCCTTAAAAAAATTAGATTTACCTATATTAATTACCTGAAAGATATAACCGAAGATTGCCATTTAAACACTTAAAATAAATTCTTAAATAGTTTATCACTAATAATACAGACATAAAAAAAACCAGTAAAGATGATTTAAGAGAGTTTTATACTTTACATTTTTAGTAGATAATAGATGCAAAGAAAAAGCATAAACTTTATTACCTTCATCTCGCAGATCTACATAAATACTCTTCTTTTCACTCTTTCTTTCAATGTCTACATCATGGGAAAACTTGCACTTGTCACCTTTTTTACATTGTCCTTGCTTATAAAAAGCACACAGTACAGACTTAGGGTCAATTCCTGAAATTAAAAAAAAAAGAAGTTAATATCACCTTTTTGCAAGAGATTAATGTAACTGTAGCCATGTTGAGAGTAACAAGATGAAACATTTCAACACCATAAAGTCTGATTAACACTTGATCACCTGCTTTAACTTCACCCTAGGAATATCATATTCAGTGATCTAACCATACTAAAAACACACAAATTATGAAAACTAATTTATTATTAAAGATAGCTATATACAGTATAAGAGTTAATACTTTCAGTGAGTATGTACATAATACATGCACCATATACTTGTTATACAAGTTGTTTACATTTTTTTAAGTTATAAATAAAGCTATAATGATTTAATACCTTTCACTTTTTCTTTTCAATGAGTTTTAGCTATGTAAGTAATTCCACCGTACTTATAAAGTAAATTATTGTTGGTTAAAGTCACAATGATCTACCTGATTTATGACTCTGCTGTTATATCTGCAGAACTCATATGTAATAGAATTACATTCCTTTCCAACCACCCCTGAATAAAATATTTAGATCTCACTTATGAAGAATAAATATTTACAAATACAAGTTATAAATACTGTACAACTTTAGTGTCAGACAGGAAAATAAAATACTAAAAAAATAAGTATTTAGAACCTTGAATGGGTGAAATTGTAAACCTGATACTCTGTACTTAAGTAATTATCTTTTTTTATATACAAAAAAAGACTAATACTCAAAAATTCCTTACTTATGTCAGGATTTCAATGTCAGGGAATTGTATCCCTAAAAGTAGAAAGCAAAGAGGTTTCATCTTCAAACACACTTAAGATTGTATATCAAGAGCAATATTAACAATGTAGGATACATCATGATGTATTTCAGTTTCTACATAATACACAAAGTATAAAAAATCATAATACTTCTGGAAAGTATTTAACCTTTTTCTGAATCACTCAGTTTCAAAGGTTCAACTTGTGTTGTTACTTTGAATTTCTCAGAAATAAAATCTTAAGAACCTTTATGACCTTCTTAGACAGCCAATTCATTAACTGATCTACAGATAATGTGTATTAATAACACTTTTGTAATAATTCTTAAATTTTACAGTTAACTTAAATATAAACTCATATGTTTTTAATACTTTTAACCCTCACATTCCCATATTCTCCTGCTCATTTTATACCAGTTCAGAGCAAGGAAAAACAAAAACAATCAAATTATTTGTATTTATATGTTTACAAGAACATGCCATATCAACTTTCTTAAGATAACACGTACAGAGGTGGTTAGGTGATGAATAATATGTCGTGTATTTGTTATGTCACTGGAAAGACACACAACAATGGGAATATACAAATTGCAGAATTTCTTGCTTACACTCTCAATTTAATTACACAGAAATAACTTACAGGAAAGCTGATCTAATCTAGTGTTTTTAGTAGTATTATGACTCAGGTAAAATTAAAATAATAAACCTTTTCACCCCACAGAAAAATTCTGCAATATTAACTTCATTGTCCACAAGCAAGGAAAGGTTATAGGAAAATCCTATTTCATAATATGAAGAATAGAGTGTTGTACCTTTCTCAACTTTCTGTGTTGTTACAGGTTTGAATATCAAGTTCAGGTCCTCAACTTCCTTCTTCTTCTCATCTTTCTTTCCTACTTGCTGATCTACCTGAGGTAATGTTAGTAGAGTCGAGTGTAACTACGCTTCACGAAGAACACTGACCACTGATAATTTGAACCATTTTTATCGCTAACTTAAATAAACACAGCATACTATTTCATTGATTAAGTATATGAATCAACATTAAAAAGATGTTTAGAGTTTTATAATATTCAAAACATATTACTTAGAAAGAAATAATAAAGAAAATGTGACGGCTGTTGGGATGAAAATGACACAATTTATGAATATCTGACTTTTAAATAAAGTGCTTATAAGATTATTGCATGGAAGCATCATTTTGCAAAGCCCTACATACTCTATTGTTTTTCTTCCAACTTTACTACATATACTGCTGATAATCATAATGAAATGACAGAAAGTTAAAGACATGTAAAAAAGCCAAATAGTTGGCTTTACATTGCCCATTTTTGTTTATAAATTGCAAACTTTTCTGTTGATACTTTAAAATTATAACAGTGGTAAAAACTAAGGAAGCCTTGAAAGTCATACTTGTGTGTGTACTTTCTTATAGCAAAGCCACATCGTGCTATCTGCTGTGTTTGCCAAGGGGAATTGAACCCCTGATTTTAGTGTTGTAAATCCGAAGACTTACTGCTAGAATATCTTGTTATAGTGTAATATTTTGAATTCTAATGCACTGCCTTCACTCATGGAAGTTATAAGAAATGATCACACCTTTTCAGCATGATGTTGAATTATGCACCTCGTATCCAGCAGTAAATTAAAATAAATAACACCTAGAATTTGCCTTGACCATACCAAAACTGAAAATTCAATACAATTAATCTATTTAGAATATGTTTATGATGGTGTGCAAACAACCAATTATACTGCAAATTAGTGAATTTCTCACCTCAACAAAGTGTTTGGTTAATATTTTGACTATTTAGATGATTTACATCCAAATTAGATTAGTTGTTTGGGGAGGTTGCTGAAGAGCACATGACAACAAAGCAATTAGAAATTTGGAATGTCACATTACTTTCCAACAGGGGGGTCAGTTGTATGAATTGCACATGTCACTGTCAGAGTTGTTACTACAAGTTGAAAGTGGTAAACAGGTACATACAAATATTTACAAAAACAATTAACCTATGGGACAGATATGGAACATTCCATTTCATCATTTGACAGTCCAGTTACTTATGAATATGCATAGTTCCAAGAAGTTACCTTAAAGTTAATTGTACCTCAACAAACGTGATTGCTGATTGGTTGGATTGCTTCTGAATGAGAAAAACTAGATATTTTGGGTTTTTTAAGTAGGAAGCAAATGGTTGAAAGACAAGAATCACGAAGATGGGCAATTGTCATAACTGACTGTCCATTGCACCTGTCACTAACAGGGGGAGTATATACATCTTTATCAACAGTAAAATCTAACATTTTGTGATTTTAGACAAATTTTGAAAGTGACACAGTGTAAGTGCTGAAGTTTAAAATGCATAAATTTTAAATAATTCCACCAACAAAATCTGAGTCTTTTGTTTATCAAAATCCATTTAAAGTTGTCATTTCATTTTCTTTTTTTCAAGGTTGGAAAGTTGATCATTACGTATGTAATAAAGTTACAATTAGGAGCATTTTTTAATAAGGCCAGTTTGAAGATTCCTCTCTTTATGAACCAAAACTTTCAAAAAATGTCACTTTATTTGACCTTTGGATGGAATAATTCATTTAGTTTAGAAAGTAGTTTAGTTCAAAATGTGTAGTGATAACAAATGTCTTCAAACTTATGGCTGAAGTAAATGATGAAATTAGGCAATGAACCTCAAAAATTTGTCTCTCACAACAGTCACATAAGGCAATGTATTGATCATGTACTGGCCACAGGGTCAGTCCCCATTTTTATTTTTCACTCATTCATATAAAAAAATTGAAAAAAATTATCACTTTTTTTTTTGCATGGCACATTTATTGATAACTTCAAACATTTCAAATTTAATGAAGCATCAAAGTACATTCTCTGTAGTTGTTACAATTTTTAAGGTTAAACTGTCAACAATACTACACAGTGACATCAGCAATCAGAATCTAGCCAATCGTCCTCTATAATTATTGGCAATTGATGATTTCCAATTGTGACATGATCGGTAAAACAGTAATATTATGTTTTTTTTTGGCTTGTGCAGTCTGCAAAGTTGGACTGAAAAGTGTTTGCACTAACAAGCAGTAAGATAAATTCTCCAAACAAATTAAAAGTTTGCAATTTTTACTTGTTGTTTTTGGAAAGTGTTGACAAAAAACTTGTATGTACATGTTTCAAATGTGCGAGTCTTAATGCAGGCTCGATGTCATATATTAAAAGTAAAAAAAGTAGCATTCTGATTGAAAAAAAGTAGTTATCTTTATAAAGGTTCAAATAATTACTCTATATTTCAAATTTTATAAATTATATTATATATATATATCAATTCCCTTACACTGATACAAAACGTTTAAATATTGCACAAAGTGATGCCATTCTTATTACTGAAAGTGCATTTATGTTGAATACATGGGCATTCATAGTGATGATATTTGTGGATTGTACATGACTAACAAGTGTTTGTAAACTTGTGAAGGTCCATTCATGGTTTGTCATAAGTTTTGCTCGGTTATGAAACGCTTAGATCAATTTAGGTGGAGTCGAACTTTTAATTGCTCTTTTGATTTTAAGGGGCCACACGGGCTACCTAGCAGACATTTTTTATGGGCCTGCCAGCATTATGGGGGCCTTTGGCTCCCTGACTTCCACTAATTTTGAGCCCTGTATTAACCAAAATGGTATCAGACACATTGAAAACATTCCTCAGCGGGATGTTACATATAATAACTGTTATATTTCAACTGGCGTTTTATATACACTGCCAATTAACAAAGCTTAACAGCCTTTTTGTATTTCCAGCTCCAATGGTTTATAATTTGGGTTCTTTTCTTATCGGCATAGCTCCAGTCATGCTTTGAGTGTGACCTATTTGAAAAAAACTTATGCTGTGTCTCACTGACCTAAAATGTGGTAAAGAAATACTCAATAACTTGATGATGGCCACAAGCACCACAGATTTGCAAAAATGGAAGATGATGAATTTTTTGTGCAAAAATTTCAACATTTTCAGACCATAACATTATATACAGTTTAACTACTATCCTATACAACCAATAAATGTAGTAAGTGGCTATATTCATGCATATTGACTGTTAAACCTACAGAACCCTACATAATTCTAAATTTCTTTCAAATGTAGCACTGAACTGATAACAAGTTTGATAATTATTGAAATTGCCAGTCATGTTTAGTAGTATCTCTCCTCCAACAATTTCATTATCAACACATTCGTAGCCACTAATGCTGTAATCATAGGTATCAAAACTGGAAAAAAAAAAAATATATATATATATATAATAATGCTAAGCTACTACGATACATAGGCACTGAAACTAAGAAAAAAAAATATATATATATATAATAAATATGTGAAGCTACTACAATACAATGTTAGAGATTAACTTTTGTGATTAATTGAGCACATTGTAGCTATTTGAAATTATGACAAATAAAGACCTTTCTGACTAGTGTTAACAGAGAGCACCACTCATCCACAAAAACACAACACAATATGGCATCCTTCACATCCATATTCCTATTCTAGTATAAAGTTTATTTACAAGTATAATGCGAAATAAATTTTATCTTCTTAAATTTATTTATAATCTTATAAACAACTTAAAAATATATATATCATAAAGTTACATGGTGTATGAATACACAGTTTTGTAGGAATAATTAGTTATAATTAGCCAAAAATTTGACTGAACACTCAGTTTAATACATGATTACACTTGTTATCCAATCTTAACACTTAGGCCTACCTTCTTTGCACTCTGGTTTCCAAATTTTACTTGATGTTGAACTTGTTGGATGAATTTCTGATTCTTTGCACCTTTCTTATTCTTCAAGCCAAATGTTTTGTCCTGAAATTACCAAAAATAGATATATTAAGAGCTGTATAAGTGCGAGACAATAACATTCATTATGTTTGATGAAATTATGCACATTTTATCAAGAAACTTTTGAATAAGAATTAATATTTCAGAGGAAAACAGCTTTTATCAACTGCCTTCCTAAAATCTTTTTCTTCAGTTAACAAATAATTCATTGACAATATTGTGTAGTATATATGTAACAATACTGTCATTGGTAATAAAACAAAAGCAATTTCAAGCACACTATTCATCTTACTAAATAACACAAATGACCAACCAGCACCATTTGTTCAGCCCCCAGCTATTAGGTCCCAATCAGTGAGGATTCTCCATGGTACACCACCATAGCAGCTAGAAACTAATAAGTGATAAAGTTCCCTCAGAAAAAAAAAAAAGAGTTTGAAAATGTGAGTGATTAGCCTTAGTAGGTGATATCTTAAAGTGAGTTTCACAGTTTAACAGAGATCAGGAGAATAATCTGTCTTATCAAATGGTGTTCTCAAGTAATTGAATCAGTCTGTGTGGACTTTGACGAAAGGAGACACTTATTTAAAGTTTGAGATACAACTGTGGTAATCCACGAGGTAACATTAATGAATTTATAGCAGATTGTATAGTAAGAAACAGAATACAGAAAAATAATCCTTCTTGTCAATTGGATTCTAAAGTAATTGAATCAGTCTGTGTGGACTTTTGACAAAAAAAAAGATAATTATTTAGAATTTTGGATACAACTGTGATATCCTATAGTGTAAAGAATTTTTGTACATATGTTTGACTTGTTTTGAATATATTATTTAAAAATAAGTGGATTATGTGCTGTCCATTTATTGTTCAAATTTATTGCCAACAAGTCACAGACCCCTAATGTAGAAGAATCCAAGCCCACACTCGCATATCCAAAACTCTGACATTTGGCAAGCCAGCCAGGATTATAGAGTGGGAAACGGTCCTGAAAGAAGACATGAACGACAGTGGGAATAAGTAGACCTATATATGCACAATTGTAGTGGTGGCAAAAACAGTGTAGAGATTACAATCATGCTATATAACCATGTCAACAGATTTTGATAAACGGATAGAAAGAGGTGAGCACCTTGGGTTAAATGATAGTGAACTACGATAGCATGTTAAACAAGAACTAGACAGAGAAGAGGGAGAAGAGAAGAAAATGAAAGGGCTGGAAATAGAGATAAAAAATAAGAGCACAAACAGTGAAAGAAGAAAAGGAGAGAAGAAGAGCACAAACTGAAATTGCCAAGCTCACCCAACAGAAAGATGAAGGACTCAAGAATGACAATGGGGTCAGGGCCAGCCGAACCAAGCTACCCAAATTTGATGAATAGAAATATGACATGGATGCTTTCTTGGAGACATATGAAAGATTCACCATAAGTCAAAACTGGGACAAAAGTGACTGAGCAGTCTGTCTCAGCCCACTTCTCACAGGAATAGGCCTACAAATATATGCATGCATGACATCAGAAGATGCCATGAACTTATAACAAATTAAAAGTGGCATTGCTGAAACAATATGAACTTCCTGAAGAAGGTTTTCACAAGAAGTTCAGAGAAGTAAACCTGGAACTGGAGAAACTCTATTTCAGCTTAGGACACATCTATGGCAATACTTCAAAAGATGGACTGACATGGCCAAGTGTGACAATAGTTGAGGGACTGGCAGATCTACTAATACGTGAACAGTTCATGATCACATGCTCAACTGACGTGTCTGTTTCTAAAAGAGAGAGCACCAAATGATGTGGAGGAGATGATCAAGCTGATAGAACAGTATGTGGAAACCAATAGAGGGAGTGTAACTGGCAAGTCTAAAAATATCCAGATAAAGTCGAAACCAGTAGTGGTTGACCAGAAGCAAGAGGCTACTAAAGGTGACAGGAGTTTCACAGACAGAAGGGAGAAGAGATGTTATGTTTGTTATAAAATGGGACATATCACAAAAGGAGTGCAAGTCCATCACCAACAAGCAACAGCAGAAATCTTATCATAAAGCAGCTGGAGCTACCTACAAAGATAATGATGATAAAAAACAAGAAAAGAGTGACTATCACCATGGATGCAGCTGCCAGAAGAAACAGAATCAAGAAATTATGTCGGATTCACCACAAGAAGGAAGTGCCATTTCCATGATTTATCAGTGTACAATTAATGGTCAGCTGAAGTTAGCAACTAGATCAACAGTGCAAGTAGTGATTATAGCATATTACAAATATCAAGATGCACCAACAAACTACAATATGCCAATTGTAGAAGGCTATGATGGAGACATGAAAGTGAAAGTACTATGAAATACTGGGTGCAGTAATGCAGCAGTGAGAACCAGTCTAGTATTCAATAACCAGATTACAGGCAAAGTGCACCCATATGTGCTACTTGATGAGATATGAGAAAGTTTCCCATAGCAAAAATAAATGTGGATACTCCATACTGTGTAGGAGACCTTGAGGTCACATGTATGAAGGCACCAATATATGACTTGGTAATTGGAAACACACCAGGAAGTAAGAATTTGGAGGAACTAGATAAAAAGAAGACTGCTGAAGCAACTACAGTCACCAGAAGAGCTCAAGGGAAAAAGAGCAAGCAAGATAACAAGCCTCTTAAAGATCCTTCTATAAAGAAACTTTAGGACAATACCCGAAAGAAAGTCTAAACATGTAAAAGAACAATCAAATTCATCCTACTCATTCACCCTGCAAATGAGAAGGAATGTCTGATGAAGGGACTGGAGCTGAAGTAGCTGGCAGCATAAGGGAACCTACTATGCCATCCCCAGAGAACGTGGCTCCATAAGCCATCATTCCTACACAACTTGTGTGAGGAAATTAGTCATTCATACAAGCAGTAGAAGACAATACATGAACTAGGCTAGTGGCATGCAAATCTTAAGGCAGACACATGGGGAAGACAGCTTTATGTGTGAAGAGGTGTGAATTGCCTCTGAAACATTAATTTTTGATTACTGGATACTTGAAGATAGTAATAATTCAACACACCAGTTGATTATTTTACATGAAAGTAATTAATGTAACCAATGCTCATAGGTAATCAATTATATTTCATACTGATCAAGAAATTTTTAAATTCAACTGTAAATCTTGCAATAAGAAGATATTTTTTTGTCTGACCTAAAGCTAAGCAATGTAAATCTAATTCAGAGAGCCAAAGTGAGTGAAAAATAGTGCTGCCAGCAATGCAGATACCCTTTCTTTTAGCTTCTGGTCAAAGGCATTAGGAACAGAACTGGTTGACATATAAAAATCAATGCTTTCCTTAAACTGTTTGCAAGTCTTTAAAAATTTTATAAAATTTTGTTATAGCAGAGCTAACAATCTGCAAAAAGCCTTAGTTAAGTTTGAATTGTTGTGCTTTTCTGTTCACCATACTACGAACATTCATATATATATATTCCCTGAGCCGGCTGTGCTTATTAATTGCTCTTAGACTATTCGAATGTTTTTCCTTTGTGGAACTACTTGCTCATGTTCATGAAGAAAATATTGTGGATCCACCTATATGTAAAATCAGGCATGCTCGGTATGAGCTTAAATGTTAATCACCCAAATATACATTTTCAAATAGTGATAAAATAGTTATATATTACTGAATAAGATTATATGATTATATTATTTACCCTGTTAAGTGCTCTTTGAGCTTCACTGGTCACAAGATTTCACATGGACTAACACTACAGTAACAATAATACACTGTAGGATTCACTCAACCACTAAAATGAGATATCTTCTTTTCTGATTATGATAAAGCCACAATTCAAAGTGATATGAAATGCACTATATTCACTAATGCCTTTAAAATTTAGGTTATCGTAAATTTACAATTTTTGTAGTCCCTACTTAAAGTTAAAACTACTTATAGTTATAAGTTACATACTAAGAATTTCATTTTAAAATGTTGTCCAAATTTAACTTAAGTTTTAACATAACATTTGTGATGATATTGTATACACTACTTACAATTAGCATAAACAATTATTAGCTAATGTAATAAGCTAATTAGATTTCGTATTAACACTCACAGACTTGTATTAGGCTTAAGCCGTTAAGGTAAACTTAAGTTAAACTTTAACTACATTACAAGTACAAATGTTGCGCTGGTTACAATTTACATAATTCAGAATTCCAATGCCTATGTCTACGACAGTAAAATCTAAAAATGTTCTACTTCGATAATTTTTTCTTTTTTCTTCAGGTCAGCTTTCTTCCCTGGTTCGTTTGGTTTTTTCTTTGGGGGCATCACTTCACTAAAGTAAAACTTTGGGACAAGTTTACCACATCAGATTTTACAGACCCAACGTGTTGAATTCAATACTTCGCTTTTCAGTGACCTGGGTACCTAGCTACATGTGTTATCGAGCGACCTCTACAGTTTCGAACAAAGTGCCAAGCGAATCTGCAAGAAACTTCTCGTCATATTAAGAAAACAAAAAAGCACACGTATGTTTATATTCGTGTCATTGTTACTGGAATGGAATATTTTGTAAGTCTGTTAGTATTAATAGAATACAAGGTAAGAAATAGAGCGTGGCTGGCATCTTAATAGTTGTCTCTAGGCCCTGCGGTAAGTACTTAATATGATTTTAATCTTTACTGTTTAATATTGTATTACTATTAGTACTAGTAGCGCTCTGAAGTTGAAGCGTTCGTATGCCTGCAAAATGTGTAAAGCTAAAATTGTAAACAATTTTATATCGAATGCGAACCAAACTCAAAGTTGGTACTAGTGGTAGTTTTAAGTTAATTACTACAATTACAAATTATGGATTAAAGAACTTCAAAGTTCGTATGGGGTTTGGATAAATGGCTCATTTATTATTTAAGTTCATAATATTTTGTGATACAATTACATAAAATTTCGAATAGAAAGTCTTAGATTTTCGAGGCAGTATATTTTAATTTTATATTATAATATAGTTTAGTAGTAAACTTTTCAAATTCGTAGCGAATATTTGTTGAACATCTGTATGAGCACTTTTCTAAAATCTGAATTGCATTCCCTCAGATATAAATTAAATCTTCAAATTTAACCTTAAGAGTATTAATAATAGACATTAATACATAAAGCATTTAGCAGATAATGTAAAAAATATAGATATATATTAATTCTTAAAACTTGTCTCTGATTAATAATGTATTCCCGAAGAAACTGATGTTGTGACATATAACACAATTGATTAAGGATATTCATTTGAAGAATTCTAGGAAATTTCACTCATATATATTATTTTGGCATTACTGGTCATTAATAGAAAGCCAAAGGGTCAAATAGTAATGAAAATGAAAACATTTCTTAAATTGTTCAGTCACTTATTATGCTTATGCTTGGCCAAAATGCAAAGAATAATTTTCACAATAAAATGTAATTACTTAAATTTCAAGTATCTGTAAATTTTAGACAAATTTAATATAAAAACATTTTCACCATTTCAATGTTAATTTGATAAAAGATACATATATATACTGAATATGGTTGTTATAGCTTATAAAAACAATTTTCAAAATATTTTAACCATAGTATTTTTCTGATTTGAATTGTCTATAATTATACAAGACAACATATACACTCTTGTATAATTCTGAAATTTGCTATTTTTATTAAAGTTTTATTTTACTACTGTAAATAATATGATATGATGGTGGATTTGTTAATGAATCCTTCTATGCATTGGAGCCTTCTTAATCATAAAATGTTGTTTTCACTGCAAAATATTTCTGTTTTACAGGTAAATTTAAAAAATTTTAGTTCAGTTGTTCTCTTTGAAACTAAACCTCTTTTTTGAATTTTCTGACTTTGAACTTCGTAAAACTGAAGTACATTTTTAAACTTTTGAAACACTGAATCAAATGAGATTATGATTCTTATTCCATAGTATCAGCTATTATTTGTATCCTGATAAAATTGTTGTAAATAATGATAACAAAGACACCATATAAAAAATATGTTTGGAACCCCATCACAAAATCATGGTGGTGTAAAAGTTTAAAACTTTTTAAGTATGATTATTTATGCACATTGAAAGCCTTCAGTAGTTTAAAGTATTTGGCTGTGGTGAAACAAGCTAATAGAATTGGGAATCATTTTAGAGAAATTTATAACTTGAGAGTAAAAGGCTATTATACCTTATATAAGATTATGGTGAAGCCTTTTTTAAGAGTAGTATGTATAGTTTTTGTCTTGTTGCATAAAAAAATATTGATTTGCTGGAAAAAGGTGCAGAGATTAGTTATCATATTAATATGTAACTTAGAAATTTGAGCAGTGAGAGAGAGGCTTACTTAAAGATTTGAATTTGTTTTCTATGGAACATTGAAGACTTAGAGTTATTTGATTAAAGTGATTAGAATTGTTATGGACTTAGATAAATTGCTTTTGAGAAGTCTGTTTGATTTTTGGAATGATGTAGTTATTATGGAAGCTGAAATATTAAAGGTAGTTCAAACAACCTTTGATATCCCACATATTTGATTTTATATTTGTCAGTACTACTTTTTTTCATCTTTTGAAGACATATAAAACTTTGTAATAGTTTGCCTAATATTATTAGCATGAACAATTAGCTTAAATTGTGATTTACACTTCTGTTTGATAAGCTTATGATTGGAAAAAAACAGCATATTGGTTTTTATGCTCTTTTCCTTTTGTGGGTGGAGGAGTAACATTGAGGTATTCAATGGTCACTCATCTATTCAATGCAAGGTCAACCCTCCACTCAATGAGACATCCAAAACAACTATCCCAAATTAGATTTAACCATCTGCATTTACATAACCAACAAAAGTTTAAATTAAAGTGACAACAGACACTACATTACTAGGCAAGGTGATTCCACAGATTTGTATTTCATACAGAAGAGTACTTGTAAAAAATAAGATCTTGATGGGCTACCATTGCATTTAACAGCTCATCAGGCTAGCTGGGATACAACAAACACAGTAGTGATTGGAATATTATTTATATGAGAAGTTTGTTACAACAACATTTTTTATAATATGAAGTTTGTGAATGCTAGCTTAGAAAAGGCATTTCCTCCATAACAGCTGTTATACAAGTATTCATTCAGTCTAATATGTCTAGAATATTATTTCCCATCCACTCACCATATTGTCTGACTGAAAGTATATGAATGAAATCATTAGACCATGAATGCATGTAATATACCTTTAAGTCAAAAGTGCATGTAGTTTTTATATTAATTAACTCATTCAGATGGATTTTTTTAAGTTTCTAGCTTGTTATATTACCTGTTTAAAATATATTTTCAATTTTTTTCCCCTATTTCTTTTGACACAACTATATATTTAAAAGTTATTGTTTTTGGTGAAAAAACTATGAGAAGTTTCACTTTTATGATTGAACCTTTTTCTATTTACTAGTCATGTAAAATAATAAAATTGGGTCAATCTGCAATCTCTTAAAGTTGAAAAAAAGGACTTATATCTGAGACAAAAAAGAACTATTATGAGTACCAACACATGTAGCTCGAGGCTACCCAGATCCAGATGTTTTTATTATCAACTTTAATGGTTATTTTTAGAAGTCACAGGACAATAGAAAAATTCCATACATATAAAAAAAAAAAATTGCTAATATGATCCTGGCCTAGGTAGCAGTGGTATTAGACTTATCAAGTGGAAGCTGACAGATGCTCTCTCTAGAGGGCCACTGTACAGGTTTGCTCTATATTAAAACATAGCTGGCCACAGTATGATGTTTTTTATCAGATTAGACAGGACTTAAGTGTCTAAATGATCATAGTATGTATTTTCTTTCCTGGTGATACATAGCTACATTTTTTGAGTGGTCATGATACAAGTTTCATTAACAAGTGAGGCTTAACTACATCGCTTGGGTGATAATGTTATGAATTTTATTTCCTGAGGAAAAGTAATTGCAGTCCTTAGGTGTTAAGGATCTTCCCTACCTGGTTAGACATAACTGAAGTGATCATATTATAGGTTTTATTATTTAGTGTGGTACAAATTTAGTGCATTATGTAGTCATAGTATTGGATTTTTGACTTATTGAGATGTAACTGCAGTGCTTTGGTGTCATGGTAGTTCTAGTCGAAAATATGAATGTCTAGATATTTTCAAACATTTGTTATTTTTTCATAAGACTGTATAATCACTGTTTTCAGTGACTTTACTCATAAAAAATATATTTAAAGAAACTTAGCATTGGCAGTATATATATATATATATATATATGCCCCTGTAGAAGTTGTTTTTTATGCATAACATTGAGGCCTGTAGAAGCAAAAACTTTATTTTGCACTAAATCTCAATTGTTTAACATTTTAATTCTACCAAAATACTAGGGTATGAACATTTGATAATTTTTTAGACATTGTAATTTCATTAAAATTGTTAATAACTTGTCCATTACATACGATTATTTTACCCTTTTTGTAAATTAAAAAAAAAGACATAATGTGCTCATAATCTTTGAAGGATTTTCAAAATGACCAGAATTATATTTTTTTTTGTTTTCTGACAATAATTATATTTGCTCAGGCTGCAAGCTAAGAAGTGATGCATGAAATTCATTTTGCTTTTCCTTTCTTGTGTTTATGAAGAGCACTTGATTTTCAATTCTAATAAAAGTTGCCAGGTTTGTCAGCAGCTTTACTTAAGACCTCTAGATACCTACCCTGCAGGTAAATATTGAAAAACGTCACTACCACAGCAGCTGCTTGGATATTGGACATGGCAATTCTCACTAAGGTCATTAAAGAGACTGATGTCATCTTGCCGACATTCCCTGAGCCCCGACACAGTGTAGCACCTGCCGGAAATATCGGCAGCAGGTTATCAAAGAGACTTGTTGTTATTATTATACATACACAATAAATGCACACTTGGCATAATCTGACGTATTCCAAGGCACTTCCCCTGGATGTTTTTTCCCAGGCAGATTGTACTTGTCAATCTGAAAAACTTATGCGAGGCACTTCCACTATTGTTTTTGCCCTTGCAGACTGCACTTGACCGATTCATATACAATTTATGACCCTTTAGTCCTAGCCACTTATGTCTATATCACATTATCTGGCACCTTACTATGACTAATTATTCCTATATTACATACTATGATCTACAGCATATGTGGATGAATAATGCACTATCTGTTAACAATAGGCTGATTCTGAATTATCTAGACAAAATTCCTTCTCACTACTTATTTATGATGCTTCCCTATTTTGTTTTGTTGTTTTTAAGGGAAGTATTGCTCTTGTTGCTA